AGTGGAGAATAATACTACACTTGATTCTGTAGAATGTTATAAGTATTTGGGTGTTTGGCTAGATAAATCATTACGTTGGGCTAAACACATTAACGACTTAATTATAAAAACACAAAGGACTATTAACTTACTTAAAACTCTCACTCACACTTATTGGGGCTTGCATCAAATTCACCTACGCAGAATTTTTATTGCTACCATAAGAAGTAAATTGGATTATGGGTGCTTTTTATATGGCAATAGTGCAAAAACTAACCTTTTCAAGTTAGACAAAATTCAAAATCAAGCACTTAGAGTAATAGGAGGATTTATAAGGACCACACCCATACACGTTATGGAATGCGAACTTTGTGTAATTCCACTGCATTTGAGGAGAAAATTATTGGCTATGAAATATTGTATAAAGGCACGTTCATGGACCAACAATACTTGTATAAACGTTTTATTAGAACTAAAAGATCTTAAAACCAATAGCTATTGATCAAATAAAAAAATCCCCTTACTTGTCGAAGACTTTGAGAACATTATGTCTGAAAATATAAAATCCTCTCCATATTTGGAAATGTTCGGATTAGATACATGGATAACTAATAATATCTAATATGCAGAATGTTAAAAAATGTAACTTAAAATCCATAGATAAATCTAATGTTAACAGCTTTTTAAAAGTAGAAGTGTTAAAGGAACTGCATAAGAATATAAAAATTACTATACTATACTATTTATACTGATGGGTCAAAGAATATGGATGGTTGCGGTGCAGCTTTCTATGATCCCTTAAAACTAGGTTGCAACATCACTTGTAGTTTTAAAATTAATATTACCCATATTTCAGTTATGTACCTGGAACTCATTGCAATTTCGGAAGCATTGTCGTATGTAAGTACAATAGACAGAACTGATATACTGATTTGTTTCGATAGTAAAAGTGCCTTGTATCATATTGCTCGATGCGCCTCTGGACATAGAGGTGCATCGATAGCGTATGATGTCTTAGGAAAAATTTATAGTTTAATGAACAGGGGCTTTAATCTCAAATTGCAATGGGTTCCATCACATATAGGCTTAAAAGGAAACGATGAGGCAGATCGTTTGGCTAAATTAGGGATATCTGAAGGAAAACCGCTAACGATAATGCCATACTATGCAGAATTGTTACCAAAGTACAAAAAAAAGTGCCACACACTGTGGAAAGAGTACTTCGATTTAAGATCTAGGGTAAAAGGAATTTGGTACAAAACAATTGTGCCTGTACCACCGCAAGTGCCATGGTTCTACAGTAGTAGATATAGTAGAAAACTTTTAGTTATAGCTCTTAGACTGAGATCAGGGCACATGCCACTGAACAAGTTTAGCTATATAATGAGAAAAAGTAGTTCACCTAATTGTGAAACTTGTGGAATGTATGAAGATGTCAATCATATATTAACAGAATGTGTGAGGTATAAATTAGCCCGTGATTACTTAATCAAATTATTAAAATTAAATTTATTCGATGTAGGTACTTTCCACCATATTTTGTCTAAACCTAGCTCTAAGGCTGCTTTTTATTTATATAAATTTGTACAATTGCGTTTCCTTGACAATGAGTAATCTTAGAAATATAAGTCATTCTGTGAACATGTTAGTTATAAGGTACAATGGGACTGACATATGCATATTTGTGTAAAAGTCACTAAATACAATAAAGAGAAAAAAAAAAGTATGTTAATCGTAGTGGTATTGCTAAAAGCGAAAAGATGAAATTTACAGCCATCACTGAACTTGCACTAATATTATAAAATGCAGAGTTTCTCTGTTTATTAACTCTTCACGCTGAATCGGCTGAGCAGATTTGAAAGAAATTGAAGTAAAATGATGTATACTTCGGTTGTCAAGAAACGTATTTCTTGTTAGGGATAAAAACTCTTCTTTCGAATAAAACCACCGGGCAATATCGGTAAAAGATGATGATAAGAAAAGGGTCTTACATTTATGTAAGTGGGAAATATTTAAGTTAATTTCTCCATCCTTTTCATTATTTGACGATAAGACATTCAGCAAACCACCATATAATTTCATTCGTAACGCATGTAGCACAGAAAGGCACCATTTCTACGCTCCAACCACGCTCAAAGATCAGAAAATTACTTCTGGTCAAATGATGCGAAGAAAATTCATAAATATAAAAATTATCTACACCTATTTATAAGAATAACACCTATAAATGACTTTCCACGATAACGAAATAAATTCAAAGAACAAATTAATCAAAGCTAATCGGGCATTTTTATTTATTTATTTATTCACAATCTTCATTTAAGGCGCAAAAGTATCATTAAATATACGTGCGTTCAAGTAATAAGTGTACAGGAATTTTTAGATAAAGACGTCAAACATTTAAATATTTTTGTCTTTCTTCGCGAAACTACACTATGTGTAATCTACAACTGTTCCGATAAATAATTTAAGGAATGTCTGAGATTTTTATATTAATAATAAAATTTAAGTGTAATTTGATATTATAAATTACACGAATCATGGCATATCATAGTCCGAAGGTTTGCTTCCAATGGGCTCCAAAACGGCTTAACGAATTTGTGAGCCGAAAACAGGTGTTGAAACGATTTTTAATTCAAACATTTGTCTACATTACATTTTGATATCTTAGACAATTAATAATATATACACACCGGCACAATTAGCGGATCTTACCAATAAAAACATCATATTAAAAGCATTTTTTCGTAATATGTTACTTTTACTTTTTTATCTAGAACTTTATTGTAATACTCATGTGTTAGCGGTTCGAGCTTGGTTTGAGCAGAAATTTAAAAGTTTTATAAATTCTCATTTTATTTACTTTGAGAGTAGGGTGCTCTTAAACCAGATCGATGGAAAGCAAAGAATATGGAGACGCAAAGGAGAACCATACATTCAAACTAGTTTTGAAAATACGGTGGCATATAGGCTCAGGCGGCTCAGTTATGGTATGGGAAGGGGCAACTTTCGGATCTCGTACGGTGCTAGTGATGGTCGATGGAGGGAATATGACTGATGATAAGTACATCAGGGATATTTTAGAAGAACACGTTGTGCCATTTGTCGTCTATAATGATGACGGATTTATTCTGATGCAAGATATTGCAGTGCTCACTCAGTCCAAGCGTATCTAAACCATGTGGGTGTAACAGTAATGCAGTGACTAGCATAATCCCCGGATGTGAATCCTATAGAGCATATTTGGGACGTGATAAAGAAAAATAGTATTTACAGAATACACCCCCAACAACCTGAGAGAACTGCAAAACATATTACTTGAAGAATGGCAGAGCTTGTCCTAAGGTACAATAGATAACATAATTCCCTTGCCGAAGTATGGAAACGTTAGTTAGAGCACGAGGGTTTATTTAATGTTAAAATAATAAATAAATATTGAAACAAAAATTTTTTTTCGTCGGCTAATGTATTTAGAAATACGGAATTGGTTGAATAACGAGCATTTTTAACGTTTAATTACGTTATCGTATTATCTTATTGACTTTTGATAATTTATCGAGTTAAAACACTGTGTCGTAATGTACTTGCAATCAGATAATTTTTAACACAACCGCATTTTTGTTGACAAAAATAGAACCGACATCAAATATCTCACCCACCAAACATATTCTATTTGATTTTAAGGAGTTCCCTGATGTATTATCCGGAGTCAACCAAATTAATATGAATATTAATTTAATAGTAATCATACCCCATGCAATTAATATGCGTTCTAAAGTAACAAAGAAGAAAATACAACTGAATTGGGAACCTCCTCCATTTTAACCGACTTCAAAAGGATAAGGTTCTCAATTCGACTGTATTTTTTTTTTACTTTGTTACATTAGAACTTTGGACTGAGGGAACCGATTTTGATGATTCTTTTTGTATATTGTATGTGAAAGTTGGTTCTTTCCATGTGGTCCCATATTAATTTCATTGATATTGGATTTTGGGCTTCGTAGATACTCGGGGAACTCCTGAAAATCAATTATAAAATGAAGCAGAGCGATATATTTGAAGTCGGTTTTGTTTTTTCGTAGTTCTACGGTGGTAGGGCCACGCAGCAGCCTCGGCTGTTGCACGAATGGGCAGGCCCGTCCGGGTAAGTACCACGACCTCACAGAAGACCAGCGTAAAGTGGAAGTATGAAAAATACTTTCGCGTTTCGTCTGGTGAATGAGGTAGCCGGAGCCCAATTTTCAAATGGTTGTCAAGACATCTGTAACCCTCGGGTGTAGCAGATGTCCATGGGTATTCACTTACCATCAGGTGAACCGTCTGCTCGTTTGCCAACTTTTCACATAAAAAAATTTTGTAAAAACATGGTGATTTTTATGTAGGGTGTAGAGATTCATGGGTAGTGGTAATTTCTCTATATGAGATGACTTTTATTCATAGAAAATTACTAAGATTACTACTTGAGCAGTGCATGATGGTTCTGACACTAGTTCGTGAGTACTTTGCATTTTTTAAAAGTTCTCAAAGCTGTTTTGCCTCGCGGTGATGTGATAGCGATTTACATATTAATAATTTATTAAAAATAAAACCACTGCGCACAAAGTATTTCTAAAAAAAGGTGATTTTTCAATTTTACAAAGTAAACTTTTAAAATAGTATGGGGGCTCGCTGTAAAATAAATATAACAATATTTATGTGAAAATCTATAAAAATTTTGTTATCCTCTTCGAGAATGAATCTCCATTAGTTCTTTTAAGCTACACACAACATAGGTGTATATCAACCCATTCTTAACTAATATACTTTCACATGATTACACCTTCGTAGGGTTGCAAATGTCCACGGGTGGTGGGTATCACTTAACATCAGGTGAACCGCCAGCACGTATGCCACTTTTTCACATAAAAGAAATAGCTTCTTTTTGATTTGTCACATTTAATATCTAGCACTACATTGCCAAAGTCCTTCGTTTGGTCGAAGATTCCTTCGACGTTGAGACTAACGTCGAATAACATTTCCAGAGAACGGCGAGCTGCCTCACATGCCGATATATCTCGCCTCCCTGATCATGTGCTGCGGCTTCTTCATGATGTATCTGGTCGAGGAGCTTGTGCACGTCTACATCAACACCAGGGAGAATAAGACGGCGAACACCAGTTTCACTAGAGTGCTAAGCATCCGGCGGACGAAAGATGACGCCGAAGGTTCGGAAGACAAGAGCGCGGAGAACAAGGAGTTGGAGGCGGGGAGGCATCACGGGCACAGCCACGTCGCGATTGGTGGCTCCGATGACACCGTCGTGGCGGCTTTGAGGGGTCTGCTCGTCGTGTTGGCGTTATCCATCCACGAGCTTTTCGAGGGCCTCGCTGTTGGATTAGAGTCTTCTGCTGGGAACGTCTGGTATGTTTTTGCTATGCATATTATCTGTTGTATTTGGAAGAACAAGGTTGTTTTTTTTTTTATAAACGTTGTCCTTACTTTAGAATAGGGAATCGAACCTAATATCTGTAAGAATTAGGTACTCTAATTTACACGTTGTGCCTACACCACCTAGGGATAGAGACAATATTATTTTTTTAATTATCTAATAATATTAAAGGCAAACATGCGGGGAACTGTTCTTCTTATATGTATATAAAAAACGAATAATGAAGCACATATATCCTTCCGGTAGAAAGCAATCTATTCCTTTGTATTTGTTTCGACACCACGGTATAACAATATCATCCATAAGCTAACCTTCAATTCATTAAGGATTAGTTATATTTTTTATCATGCATTGACTTGATGATCAATCCACCTGATGGTTAACGATGATAGAGGCACAGGCGGTGAATGAACTAGCTCGGCTGATAGTCACTCTTATCTTGAAGATAAAATTTGTAATCGGACAAATCAATGCCAGGTAAATTATTTTTTCACCTCTTTTTTAGATATAAAGATGCAGGTCATTCTCCTGGTGTTTTCCGCTATAAAAACAATAGTATATAATCTTTATTTATCACCAATTACTACATTTAACGTTGAATCCGATGCTGATTTTTTGACAGCAGAGTGATTATGATGGAATTTCTCGTCAGTAATTGCTATCTTGGACGGTCTGGTCTATGCCGACAACAAGACTTAAAACTAACTTTTTATTAAGTAATAATTCCCATAGAGAAATTAATGACGTTACTTTTGGTCAGTAATTTTTTTATTCAATAAGCGTTTTACTTTTCCATCTATGCATTTCAATAGTTTTTCTGATGTTGTTTAATTTATGTTTTTTTTTTTATTATATTAAATAATATAGTCGTCTATTTTCCTGTACACTACGGACAGATGTGTTTAGCCAATTGAATGGTCGCACTAAATGCGGTGTACTGGTAGACTATATGCGGTGATTTAGTAATTGCTAGGATTTCCATAAATTCTAAGAATTGTCTTTGACTGTTTTTATTTTAAATACAATTATTAAATACATCAAATAATTCTTAAAAATTTCACATTGTTAAGAATTACCGATACATACTATATCTTATATATAATTATAAAATTAATAATTCTTAGTAATTTCAAATTAGTGAATAATTTTATTTGTTTCAATATAAGAATATTGTTTCAATATAAGAATATAATTAAATGTGCCTTACATGCATTATTCGAAAATTCCGTGTAATATTTTTCAACATTAAAATTAAAAGTATTACAAATTTCTTTCCTTCCATCCTGTTGCGCTTTTTCATCTCTCATAAGATATTTCTTTCACCACACGTCACTCGTTATGAGTCAAGATGTTACACTTCAGTAATAAATATGATAAAAAGAGATGTTACTCCCAATATCTATCGCCGCCACTCGAGTTTAGGGACGTGAGAGATTTGCGCCACGATAAAAAGTACGTGCTGTGTCCACGACTACTGGAGTTGCCACACTAGTGGCGGATAATCCAGATCATCGTTTCTTCCGCCCGCGCTCCCAGTCTTAATCAAAGCAGTATCCGTTGATGTGAAATTAGAACAATACACACATCTACTAGGGAACGTTCATAGCCACAGGCGTTAAATATGCGTTTAATATATTATTTGTAAACAATTCCGTAACAATTGACTCTGCGGCTTATAAAGAACTAGCTGCTGCCCGCGACTGCGTCTGCGTAGAATAGGCTGAAGGCGTAACATTCAGACAGAAAGACAGTTAGACATAAAATATGTATATAAATTATAGCCTGTCTTATTCTGATGTATAAGCTATATTCTTGTAAAGTTTCATTAAAATCCATTCAGTAGTATTTTCGTGAAAGAGTAACAACTAGCCATCCATACATACAAACTTTCGCCTTTATAATATATTATAAGAATAAAAAGTAAAATGGCTTTTGCGGGACTTAAATCTTAGGTGTGGTCCAGCATATCGACATTTGTTGCTGTCAACTGCAAGTTTTGTAGACGTTTTCCTTAAATAATTCAGCCATGTGATATGGCTATGGTTTCTGGGCGGCGGTCGTTGAAAGGGGTCGGAATAAGTACAAAAATAAAATACTAGATAAATAATAAACATTTTTTTTTGCCAAATGTATAAAACATAAGTTTTTCTATTATTATTTGTTAAAGTTTGATCTTTAGAAAATTTATATTTAAGTCTGGCATCCGAGTTATTGAACATTTCTTAGATATCGATAGTTTCAGTATAAAAATTAAACTTGAAACTGTATACAGCGCGTCTTTACAATCACGACAATAAATGAACACACATATAGAGGATAACTTTTATAAAATTGTATTAAAAATTTACATTCTTTAAACATCAATATTTACCGAGTTATTAAATTTTCCAAAACAAACAATTTTAGAACACCTTACGCATAAAACTGTCACAAAGCATATGAATGGGTTGAATGAATTTAAAAGAGACAAAACATAGTGTTAGAAGGAGAGGCTTGTAATGCGACGCTGTGGCAACGAATGAAAAAGTCTCTGAATGTATGAATCAGTCAGTTGTAGTTGTATAGGATGTTACAAATTTTGTTTCTTTTTTATTTAATTAGTTTGTTTGAAAAATATTTTTTTTAATTATGTATTTTTTTTAACGTTAATATTTTTTTATGATTAATGTGTAAAAATGCAAGTAGCGTTAGACGTGTGTTCATTTATAGTCGCCGTTGTAACGATACGCTGTATAAAACTTATCAAGTTTTTCTTTATAAGGTAGAACAGTAGTTACTATCTGAATTTATACTAATTAATATGCATGCAGAATGCTATCAAATGTTTTTCTTTGCAAAGAAGGTTCTGTGGTGCGTTTTTGCAAAACGGACACATAAATTGCATCTAAGTACAAATGTCTTTTCAATAAATATTCATTATAAATGAAACAATACAAGATATTATCAAATAAATATTCATTTGAAATATGTATAAATTTTTGTACCAATTTAAATTAAAAATTATAAATTGGTTCTACATGAGGCTTTGACAATTTAAAAACGATGAATTATATTTAATTATTTTTGAATAAGCTGTATTACTTCCATGTGCCCATATGCTATTATGCTTCCAATCAGCTTTGCTTAAACCAAATAAGGGTTTTTCGCACGCAAGCGAAGCCGCGTGCAAAAAGCTAGTATGCAATAAAAACAAAGTAAATTTTCGTCGGTGTGTCTGGAGATATGCCGTATAGCTAGATGTCGGCTGTGTAACCGGGAGGACGCAGGTTCAATTCCTCGTATTGGTGATAAAATTTTTACAAGAATTTGGAGTGTCTCAAAGCAGTAGTGACATGAAAATTTTGTGTGCATCGGCCGACGACTGGCCTCGGAGGTTGAGGGATTTACTCAAAATCTATAAATTTAATACTTTACTGTTCACTACTACATGAATTTTTCTAATCAGATACCTACTGCCAATAGTTAAGCTTTACTTAGTTTGGGACCAGTAAAGTTGTAAAGGTAAAACGGGACCCTATTGCTAAGACTCCGCTGTTTGTCTGTCTGTCTGTCTGTCACCAGGCTGTATCTCATTAACCGTGATAGTTAGACGGTAAAGTATGTCCTGAAATATTTATTTTGTAGGTACATGTTTGGTGCAGTCTCCGCCCACAAATACATAATCGCCTTCTGTATCGGCGTGGAGCTGCTGGCAGCGGGTTCTAGGCGCTGGCTCTCTGTGGTCTACATCTTTACCTTCTCCTTCGTATCCGCATTGGGGATTGGCGTGGGCATCCTCTTGGTCGGTGGCGCTGGTGCTTCCGCGGCTGGCCTCTCTTCCGTCATATTACAGGTATTTAGCCGTTTAGCATCAATGCACATTAAATTATATGTATTGTTACTTGTATGAGAGCAAGTGACACATTTTTAGGGTTCCGTACCCCTAAGGAAAAAACGGGAAACTGTTACCAAGACTCCGCTGCCTGTCGGTCGGTTGGAATTTTCACAGATGAAGTATTTATGTTGCCGCTATAACAACAAATACTAAAAAACAAGAATAAAAAAATATTTAAGTGTGGCTCCCATACAACTTGGTTTTTTGCCGTTTGCCGTTTTTATAGATAATGGTACGGAACCCTTCGTGCGATGAGTCCGACGATGTCCATGGGATCGATTTAGTTTGAAAAGTATTTGTGTGACCGACGGATCATTGTTCAAGATCCGAATATTAGTTCTCAATGAGTTATGTTAACTCGAAAAACGTTTTATTTTTAATCTTTTTAATTGGTCTCGCTTGTCTGTGTTATAGATACAAAAGTTACTTCAATAATTATTAGATATCTTTTGTTTTCGTATTGTTGTATTTAAAGAACAATCTATGTTGCGTATTTTTTTAGTATTAGGTAATAGAGATTGTTATATACACACTTCATTTAGAAAATCCCAGCGTACAGCCTATCTCATAAGGCATAGTAGTTTATTATTACTTCAATAATAATTACAAGGATATTTTCATAAATATACCACTTTGATAATTGGTAATAAAAATCATTTAACTGTGTACCAACCCTTCCAAAAATTCATACAGAACGTAACACAACACACAAAAATTAACGTCCAATCTTGTTCCGCGTGTCTTTCTAGGGTTAAAGGTAAAAAAGGAACCCTTATAAGATCACTCTCTTGTTTGTCTGTCCGAGTGTCACCACCGATTTTCTCAGGAACGGATAAGTAAATATATATTGCAAATGAGGATGAATATAAATAAAAAACCGGTCAAATGCGAGTCGAAGTAGTACGCTGAGGGAAACGTACCTACTCATTATACCACCATAAAAAACATTGAGAGGTGTCAAGGGACACCCGGATGTATTAAGTGAAGGAATTGTAATAATTTTTTTTTATTATTAACAAATATAATGTAATATAAACTTAATCAGTAGGCTCAATTTTAGTATTAATTGGCTTGTGGTAACTGAAGTAGGAAACATATGTTTGGGATTCTATTTTATTTAAATGTCTTGCAAAAACTGCATCAACGGTAGTATTATATTTCGTTGTTGATCCTGATGGATTATTGTTAATTCTTAAATCAAATTCTTCCTCTAGAAATTGTCATGTTTGTCTGTCTGACAGACAAACAACAGACAGAGAAACATGCGCACGCCGCACAGCAATAGCTTACTATAGCAAAAAGTGTCGTTACAACTTTTCGTGAGAATTTCTTCCGTCTAGCCCCCTTTTACAACGCGCGATAAGGAACTTCGTTCCAATAAAATTGGTAAATAATCACCACCTATCTTCTCAAGAAGGCCCGGACCTGGCAAGTTGTTAAAAAATCAAGGTCCTGAGCCAACACGATAAAATATATGTTTTTTTATTTACATTGATCCTCATTTGCAATTTATGGATTCGTTAACAAAAAGAGAACTTAATTTATACATAACATGGAGATATTTTTATATAAACTTAGCCCGCTCATCGTCCTCATCGTCCCGGTCGTGGAAGAATCGAAAACCGATCTGATCCTCTGGCGAACCGCTCGAGGATGGGGTCATAGGAAAGTCGGTATAGTGTTGTCTAGACTAGACTACACTGCACCCAAATATAATGCTAACACATAACCAATTAGTTAGTCCTTGTCCACGAGCATGGAGAAACCAACACAGCGCGTACACAAGGTATATCCGCGTTCCGGGCCAGGTCTCACCGTCCTCAGTCAACGATATATACCGTAAACCAGTGTAGCACCATACGCATTGGCGTATCTAGGGTTATTTTTCAGGGTGGGCCTTTTCTAAAATCTAATATTTAAAAAATAGCAGTTCGTTATCGTTAATCATCTACTTATATATTAATACGGTTAATCTTTGTACCCCTTTTTACGAAAATTGCTCGGACGAAGGAATATAGAGGCGACCACTAGTTTCCCAATTTGAATACCACACCACTAGTTAGTGGTGTGGTATTCAATTGTATTCTAGATTGGTACGTTGTGTGGTGAAAAGTTAATAAACGGAATGTGTTGTATAATAGTATGTAATAAAACTTAGATTTCACGGCTGTAGGCTGCATTTGATTTTAATGATTTTTTGGGAAGTTTGTTAGGTGTTCAGCCTAGAATTTCAAATCTGTAACCCATAATCCTTTGGTGGGCATGGCCCACCCGGCCCCCTGCTATATACGCCTATGACCATACGAAAGTGCTTTGAAATGATATAAATAAAATATTAACACTGACTGAACCATTTGGGTTTGTATGAAGGGTTTTTGGTTTATTTCAGTAACGAGTAGCCAAATACTTTGCAATAAGTTTTTCGCATTTAAATTGAAAGTAAAATATGTAAAGAGAACAATACGGAATTTAAATATTCTGCATTGTTCTTTCGCCTTGTTCACGGTTTATTTTATAGTTTTGATCATGAAATAGGTCTCACGGTTATTGAGCATCTTTATAAATTACTAGCTTTTCGCCCGCGGCTTTGTTCGCGTCGAAGCCCTTAAAATGTCTTTCTTTAAAATATATATATTATATCTAATAATGTAAAATAATATATATATCCTTATATCCTTTCTCAACTAAATACCAAACCAATACATACATACCAAAATTCATTTAAATCGGTTCAGTAGTTTTGGCGTGATAGTGAGACAGACAGACAGACCAAGTCCCCTGGCTCCTGCTAAATTATACTAAAATAATTTTGTGTGTATACTTAAATACTTAAAGAAAAAATAGAAATAAAATATAAATATATGACCGCAGAGTTTCTTGCCGGTTCTTCTCTTGCAGGTCTAGTTTAGTGAACCGGTGGTAGTTTTTGACGTTCAATAAGAGCTTAAAATAAGCCTATGTTGAATAAAGAAATTTTGACTTGACTTTGACTTTGAGCTTAAGTTATGCCTGCAGTGAATAACGATGTTTTGACTTTGACTGTGACTGAACGCTTAATATAAGCCCTAGGCCTATTATTAAATTTGTATTTGATTAACTATAAGTTATATTTAACATGTTTTTATAGGGACTAGCGTGTGGGACGTTGATGTACGTGGTATTCTTCGAAGTGTGGCGCCAGGATCGGTCAGGGTTGGCCCAGTTCCTTTGCTCCATTGGCGGTTTTGCTCTGATGGTGTCTTTAGAGGTCATCGTTGAACTAGGTACGTAGCTCACTATTATTTAACACATAGGGTAGAGGGTAAGTGTTGCACCAGCGGTAAACAATTTTTGTACGCATATGTTGGTATAAGCAAAATATAATACACTTTTTCGTTTTCTTAGTTCCTATCTGTTATATTCTAAGTTGATTGTTAAGTATCTATGTTATATGGTAGGGCCACGCAACAGTTTTCACTGATGCACGAATCGGCAGGTCCGTCCGGGTAATTACCACGACCTCACAGAAGACGGGCGTAAAGTAGAAATGTTACACTTCTGCGTTTCGTCTTGTGAGTTAGGTAGCCGGGGCCCATTATATTTAAAGGTGGCAACGCAATTGCAACTCTACGGGTGTTGCAAATGTCCATGGACGGCGGTAAGGCGTTAAGTAATAACTTAACATCAGGTGAACCGCCAGCTCGTTTGCCACTTTTTAACATAAAAAAAAATATTGACTAATAACTTGTTTAAATGCTGAACGACAATATACTTCAAATTCTTTTAGATATAAATTTTGATAATTTTGTATTTACTAAATGAAACTATGTTTACGGATTTATCGCGTTTATTTTTAGTTTTATTTCAAGATGTTTCGAACTCTTTTCAGCGTTCATGGTCACGGGACAGACTGAGGCGTTGGATGTTTGAAGCCCGGTTTCTGAAACACTGATCATCGTAGATGTCAACTAATCAGCTGTCAAATGGATTTCCAAATATTATTTGATTTGCCAAAAGGATTGTTAAACTCTCTGATTTGATCAGAATGATCTTCTTACTGATCAGTTTATCAGAAACCGGGCGTGAGTATCGTTATAAGTCTGGACTACTGCCAGCTTTTAAGTTATAAATGTTTGTGTCGATCTACGCCATGCTTCTTTTATCTTATCTTGTAGTAGTGGTTCATTTGGGCCTAGATTTAATTTTATTAATAATAAAAACTAACTATTTTATAAATAGCTTGGGATCTAGCTGATGGTAGCACCCAACCCTCTTCTCAATTGAAATTAAAATCGCGAATGGGAGAAATCGGTTTCCTTTTGCAAGGATATGTAGTCTATCAAACCTGATGTAATGATTGGGGCAAGTTAAGGTGTGCTCACTTACTGCATTTGTTTATATCATAACAGATTAAAAGTTACGATGAACGATGAAAAGGGTTTGAAACGTCGCGGGAAATAAAACTAAAAATAAACGCGATAAATACCTAAATATGGTTTCATTTAGTAATGTGTAATCGCGTAAATACAAGAAATTATTAATTTAATATTTTTTATTAGTCTTTTAACCAAAGACTACATTAAAATTTGTTTGCCTTTTAGCTGCCTGACGAAGTTTCGCTGCTGCCGAAGTCTAGAAATTACAAGAACATAATTTATTGCGATGTACATTTCTTTAAGATTAATCAAGAGAAATAAAGTCTGTTTCTTATATTTGTGTTAAGTCACTTATTTATTGCACCTTACCTCTTTTCAACTAAAGCCACATAGTAATTTCTGTTTTACCAAAGCCTCAATAACACCGGTGTAAAGTAAAAGTATTTATATATAATATTTAAAGCTAATTGGTATTAAATTATGTATTAGCTTTTCGCTCGCGGCTCCGCCCGCATGTACATTTTATACCGTGCTTAAAAAGTAGCTTACAGCCTTTCTTAATAAATTTGCAATCTAACAATGCAAGAATTTTTCAAATCGGACCAGTAGTCCCTGAGATTAGCAATTTCAAACAAACAAACTTCAGCTTCATAATATTACTAGCGACCCACCCCGGCTTTGCTCGTGTGCAATGTATTATACATATAAACCTTCCTATTGAATCACTCTATCTAGTAAAAAAAAACCTCATCAAGATCTGTTGCGTAGTTTTAAAGGTCTAAGAATAGATATGGACAGACAGACAGCTGGACCACTTTATTTTATACTATGTATTGAAGTATGGATATCCTCTTATTTTAAGGCCGTCCCATCACTACTACTAAAAATACTTTCCAGTGCGGTTCAGGTCGATATCGGCCCGCCGCTCTCCCTGGTTCCTGGCTCATTGCCTGTTTAGCAGATCCAGGGGCGAATCGAACCTAAGGAAGTTGGGTTCAAGGTCATTGTATAATTCTATACATTATGTTTCATACATCGCAATGCTATAGCATTTTAATCTACCCAAGTGCTGGTGGGTCGAGAAAGGCCAGCCACCCAGTGGCGGAAATACCGTTGGGGGCGCATTTCGACCTGCCACCGCACTTCTTTAAGTTGATATAATTTTTTTACGTATGAATCGATTTAAGAAAAACTAACACTCATGTTGAGTGAAGCTTACTACAATGCATTAGTGAACGTTGCACCCAACTCGGTTACCAAAGCCGTTTCTGAGATTAGAGCGCACAAACGCACAGACAAACTGACCAGTTGATAAAGGCCCCCAATAAAATTGTTTCTCAAATATCTTACATGTACCTACAACGACCAACTACGTTTTCATTATTTGAATAGATTATTATAAAATGTAGAGATATTATTATTTACTCTGCATCCATGATGACGGAGAATCCACACACGTCATAATAACCAAAATGAATACCATTTAGAGTGCTGCTAAAGAAAAGTAAGTTCTCAGTGACAATGTAAGTCCTAGTTCATCAATAACAGCAATATTTTTCAACGGTATCCCTTGACCAAATAAACGGATGAAAGGAAAAATAAAAGGTTGCCTTTTCTGCCAGCCACACACTCTGAGAAGGTGTTCTTCAACGTTTATGTCTCACATCTTTGCTCTTCTCACTTAAAACTATAACTATATAAGTCGAATTCGAGTATTTCGCGGAGTATAGAGCCCTATTTTATTTCGTAATTTGATAATAGAAGATAATACTGACGAAAATTTTGCAATATATTATACAAGATCCCCATCCATTCTAGAGCCAACACCATTTGCATCAGTCGTTCACCCAACTTAGCTAGCCAAAACAGAAAATTAGGGCAAATACCCTTTTTAACCAACCGATTCCTTGGGAACGGATCATTAAGTATCTAGGTGTTACGTTCGACGCCAACATGTCGTTTCGTACCTATATACATAATGTTAGGAACAAAGCCGTATTGGTTTCTAGCCGACTGTACCATCTCATGAACTCTGCGAGCAAAATGCCCTTAAAGTACTTTTGTTGTACAAGACCTATATTGTCCTACGCATGTTGTCTACGAAAAGATCTTAAAACGCACCTGAAGAAACATCATTTAATAGAAAATAAATTGATCCGCACTACAAACGGTGCAAGGTAAACTATTGCACATTTGCACAGTGGAGGGTCGTCCAAAACTGCGATGGCCAGTACGAGGCTGTCACTCGAGAACATTTATTTCCCAATGGTTATTAGTTCTAAGAGCTATACGGACGGCCCATCGCCACTTCAGCTTACTAATCTTCTGAGATATGTCGATTATCTTTGTTATGTCACAAGTTTGCAATCTTTAATTACATGAATGGCTTAATTTGATCTCTACTGGCCCTAATTATTTCTAATCTATAGGAAATAATATCAGAGTTGGTGTACCTCTGGTGCTACAACTTTGAATCCGGGACTTTTTTGTCTAGATGCTTGTTGTTTTTATTTCCCTTACTTTTTGATATGTTTTATGTAATATAAAATATTTATTATTATTGGTGGGGATATTTATTTGTTTTCTCGTCTGGTTGGGTTTATTATTAAGGGGGGATATTCATTTGTTTTATCGTCTGGTTGGGTTTATAAATAAAAATAAAAATAAAGATATTATTATTATTATTAATACTCGATTCATACCCTCCACGTCCTGCGTCTCACGTCTGCTTACCCGTAGATACCGGCGTACCAGGGTGTAATAAGATCGTTGATATGTAGCAAAAAGAGATTTACGGATAGAATGGACCCCTGAGGAACACCGTCAGTAGTTCCTTATTTCTTTTCCATAGTAATTTCTTTGCTCAGTAATAATAACAAAAGTTTATTAGTACTTGCGGTCATCACCACTACTACTAAGGTGAGGGCTTCTGAACAATTCAATAAAAATGTATCGAAGAAATCTTAATCAAAGAAACCACTAGTCAAATATTTATTTAGATTAAGGACATTGGTAATTTCGCAAGCCCAACATCCGACAAAGTTTTCACATAGATAAACAAACGGACAGACATACAGCTAGAAGCTACTTTCGTTTTGATAATGTCAAGTAAAGATTAGTTTGCATACTATTATTATTGTAAAGGATTATTATATCGGTTTCACTTGTTGTACGGTAGCGGAAAACAATAAAAATTAAAAGGATTAGATAAAATAACATAGGTATTTATCGATATATTCTGACGGTTTTACTAACTGCAATATACTCTACTGCAAGCTATTTTGTGTCTCTCTTAGGTGTCGCGCATCGTAAAAATTTACGCGCATTATTATTCCCAAAAGTGCCGAAAGAAGTATAACTTCAAAAACCTATCTGGAATATTTTATGTGAAATGCTTTTTATAATAAAATATTTATTTTACTAACTTAATTATTACTATGATATACAAAAATCAAAACAATTTACTCATCGACTTATGAAACATATATTCATGATCTATCGATAGTATTTTTTTTAAAGTTTTTCTTTAAAAAATTTCGTAAACCTTTCGCACTCCTGCCCCATGAACGAGTTACTTACTTTATGGAGTCTAGTAACTGGTATGGTAATCAAATTCCATAACTTTTCAGATGGGGAGGTGAGCGTAGATCTGATATATTTGTTGTTTATGTAATCCGTGTTGTATGAAAGTATGAGATCTTTGATATTCTACGGGTTCCTAGTGTAACGACCTATTAATAGTAATAAATATTATTATTAATTAGTCATAATAAAGATCAATTAAGATGAAAATAAAACGTTTAAGAACGTTTAATCACAATAAAAGTTAATAATATATACTTAAATTAAAGAAATATAAGTGTTAGTATGAGAAAATGATATTACCAAAAATTGATTAAAAATAGTTAAAAATCACTTAAAATATCAAAAAAGGATATTTATTAAAAATATAGCAAGATACGATCACTATTATGTCCATTAAATACAATTCCATACTTAGTGATTTCTAAGGGAAGTATTATGTACCGTGCGGGGACACATTTGCATGACCGCACATATGTAAGTACAGAGGTCGATCGCGACTCTTAGTACTATAGTCAAAGTACATTGTATGAACGTCCCATACCAATATCATATGGAAGTAAGGTCTAATGGATAAAAGTAATAATATGTGAAGGCTCAGAGAAAAAATAATGAATATATAAATATAATGAAGAGCAATGAATGACTTGGGACTTTATAAGACATATTACTATGGAGTTGCGTGGTACTTCTGTACGACGATATGGTCTACGGTAAACGTGGAACCATGAATGGATATGTCTTCAGTGGTGGACATATCATCGATAGCTGGTGGTAGTTGGCGTCTTAGTGACCATCACTATGAAACGTTGGCTGTCATTCGGCATAGTAAGAGTTTGGTGGTAGTTGGCGTCTTAGTGTGTTGCACTATGATACGTCGACTGATCATCTGACTTTGGGGAGTCTGGTGGTGGCTTGCGTCTTAGTGTATTCCACTATGATACGTTGGCTATTACTTGGCTTGGGTGGGGGTCCGTTGGTGGTTGGCGTCTTAGTGTTTACGCTATGATACGTCGACTATCATTCGGATCGTGAAAGAGTATGTTTGGACACTTCGTGTGTTCCGAGTATATTCTAAACTTTGGAGCTGAAGTTGTTTGGAATTGTTGGTGTGGTGGTGTGGTGTGAGGGTGTGCCACCTACGCGATAGTCACATTGATGCATGCGGCTATATGCAGTACTGCGTCTTGTGGTATTTGCGGGGTGATCTGCGCCTAATATCATTGCATCGTATGATTCTGGTTGGCGGAGGTTCGAGGTGATGATGTCTGCTGTGTATGCGGATAGGCTGTATGTTGGCGTGTTGACCTGCGATAGTTGTATTGATGCATGTTGCATTTGGTGACATTGCGTCTTGCGACATTTGCTTGGGAGACGACGCTATTCATAATGGCCGAGTCTGCGTCTCGGTTTGATGCACATCTCAGTAGATTTGTCAAAGTCGGGTTCCTGATGACGGAACTGCAGACTGTCTGACCTCTTTATACGTTTTATCATTATTAACGAATCTCAGTAAAGTTCCCACCGTTCGAACGAATAATGGCAACTTGCTGGTGGGTGAGACAAACTTGATCGAAATTACATTATACTCAACGTCAGAGACACTGACAAATAATTATATGTTGCCAATTATAAACCCTTCTGATGG